GCAAAGCGTTTTTTCCTCTATCTATTTGCAAAGCAGTTATAAATACTTAGGCTTAGAAAGAAAGGAACTCTCATGCCTGCTACTTAATTACAATTTATAGACTCAAGACTATGTTGGTCTAAGATACATTTTCAAGTATTCCTTTGTTGTTTATAGTACGCCAGTAGTACCTTATTGCACATTGCTTCTGAATGCTTCACTTTTATAAGTGTGGGACGTTTTCCCGTCCAGGGCACTTTACAGACCTGAACCCTGGCAAGATTACTTTCCCCTTCCGATACAGATCATCCTGTAAACCTTTGTTCATCCTCTGTACCAGCAGTTTTTCATACAGTAGTGGATGGTAAGCCCCTAAGGTACAAGCTGCATCATAGTATAGTTCGTGGTAGTGACAAAGGTCAGTTTGTCGGACAGAAGGAATGTATTCATACACGTGCACTTCGTTACACATGGACATCATGATGAGGATCCCTGAAATGAAATTTAAAAACAAACATATAGCTATATTACCACCTTAAAATTTTTCTGCAATCCTGTGATATGCCTTCTTTCACCACACCACTTCAAAACATTTTATTGTACTTAGTTTAAAAATATTCAAATGTAATAGATTAGTTGTCATTTTACACTGTTATATCAGAACATAGTATTTTGCAGTGCTGGTATTACAGGACAGTAGATATGAAACCTTTAATCTTCTATATATTTGAGTGTGTCTGTCTGTCTGTCTGTCCGTCCATCCATTTATGAATTTAAGAACGCCTTCTAAATGGTAAGAGCTGGGACCACCAAATTCCATATACAGCTTCCTCTGATCATAGCTTGAAGCAAGGTCAGGGTTTGGTTGTGCCAAGACAATGGGATGCACATGGAAAGGGAGGGGTGTGATACCAGGGACAGGTATACTCATGTATGACCACAGGGGAGCAGCAATCATGAGGGGGAGGGGCTGTTTTACTCTCAAATAACTCCAGGGGCAGCCGCTGACTGGCCAGCATGGCTTTCACTGCCACAGAGCACCCCCGGGGCTCAGTCTGCAGCAGCTTCCACCCCTTCCCCCCACACCTCCCAACTCCCCGTCCTGACTCTTGCACCCCCCACTCACTGCTCTGGCTCCTGTACCTCCTACCACCGACCCTGAACCCCTCCTCACCTGCCAACCCTGACTTCTGCACATCCCATGCTCCCAGCCCCTGGCCCTGAAAGACCTGAGTAATGCCAGGTAAGTCTTCTAGTAGGCCTATAAAACCCTGTACGGCAATCTCCATCCTCCTCAAGTCACTGAAGAGATTGCTCATCCAAAAATTTCACGAAAAAAAATCATGAAACTAACCCAGGGATATGCTAAAACTTATTATTCAAATTACATCACTTTCATCATCACCTCTTGAATGCACTCCCTTATTTGTATGTTGTCTGTTTATATAGTTCTTTAGCAATACGGACATTATCTTTATACCTCTGGTGCACTTAGTACACTAGATGTTTTGTAAAAGATCCACAGTATTTCTTGGACAAACCCACCATCTTCATTTCTAAACTTTGAACAAAACTATGTAAAGACACAAATGTCCAATAGTCTTCTCCCTGCCCCTGGTTTCAAATGTGTATCTGTGCTCTGATCCTCTAAATATTTCTACACGTTTAACTTCAAAGATGTGAGTAGTCCCACTGACTTCAGTTTAGTTTAGGAAGTCATTGGTGGGGGAAAGGCTATCTTGAAAAGGTTAACATTTCCATTGGAAAGAAACAACAAATGGTCTGGTAGCACTTTATAGACTAACGAAACACGTAGATGGTATCATGAGCTTTCGTGGGCACAGCCCACTTCTTCAGATGACTGGAGTGGGCTGTGCCCACGAAAGCTTATACCACCATCTACATGTTTAATTAGTCTATAAAGTGCTACCAGACCATTTGTTGTTTCTTTCCATTTGAGTATTTCCAGGGTTAGGCATAGTCTGGTCTTCTCAGGCTAGCCACATGGAACTTCTAGGCTCCTATAAAGCAACAGCATGCTTGCCAAAGGGAGAAGAAGATACTTCCTGCCAATGTAGCAATCTGCATGCTAAGCTGTAGCTGAGTCAAGCCTTCACCCATATTCCTCCCATCACATCAACAACTTCTGGTCTGGAGGCTGTTATTGAGGGGTGAGGCTAGAGTATTAATCACTTGATGCAGTGATTAGAACATATTTTAGGTTATACTGAAATCTTCCTTTTACCTCAAAGCATTTTCTACTTCCTGTTATCATAATTCATGTCTGTCTTAGAGTGGGTTTGAGTCAGTTGCTTTTCATCCATCCACTGGCTTCTTTCAAGGCATTGAGATAGTTTGGAGACAAAGGCCTTGCATTGGTAGAGAAAGACATATAGCTGAATATCATCCACGTAGTGGGGGCTCTGTAGTCTGTGGCTTCTCAGATCTCTCCGAAGAGGTGGCTGGGCTACTACATGATAGGGACACTCTGTAGGTGGGGACAAGCAAGTGCCTACCGCAAGACTGGGCTTTGTCCGAAGAATAGGTGGATCCAGCATAATGCAGGACCACTTACTCTTGCTGTCTCATACATATTGTCATCAACTATGGCAAAGATTTCTAAGATCCTCAGTACCAGCACAGAGATTCACTTGCTGTTTAAAGTGTAGGAAAAGGTTGCCTCCGGGATTTTTTGTTTCTCTCCATGTCTGCGAATGGAACCTGTGTAGGAGGGGAGGGAGATTAGTAGAGCCATTGGACCTAAAAAAAGTATTAGCTTCTCAATGACCTCAATAATAGGATGATACATTTGTGCTAAGAAAGGGATGTTGCATTTTTGAAAAGGGAGAGCAACGAATTGGTTCACTTTAAATACTCTTTGAGAAGGGATTAATATAAAAATATTGGTAGTCTAAACTTTAATTGTGATTTACTAATTATTGGTTGTGTTTGTTTTACATAGGCACGTCAAAAGTCTCTAGTAATTAGTCAATACCCGACGGGGTGGCTCTTTATTTAATAATGTAATTTTTAAAAAAATTCAACACTTCTTATCAAAACACTGGTTACACTATCACTATCGCGGTTCATTGAGTGGGAGCGCTGTGTCTCAGAACAAGAATACAGTTGAACTAATATAGATTGAACCTCCCAAATCCAGGGTCCTGCATGGCTGTTGAACCAAAGAGCTCCAGGAGTGGGAGCCAGCTGAGAGAACGCAGGGTTTGAAGAGTCCCCTCTGGGCCAGCAGCAGCTAGGCTGGGGAACCCCAGGAGCAGGGCCAAGCAGCAGCCAGGGAGTCCCAGGCCCAGCAGGGGAACCCCAGCATAAGTGGGGCTATGTGGCATCGGGGAGCCTCCATCCCGACGTGGGAATCCCCGGTGGCAGTGAGGTCAGGCAGCCAGAAAGCCCCGAGCATTGGGGCAGGCGGTGGCCAGGGAAACCTAGGAAACCCTCGGCGGCAGTGGGGCTGGGCTGCAGCCTGGGACTGGGAAACCCTGAGGAATCGCCAGAGGTAGTGGGGTTGGTGGTGGCCAAGTGGACCTACCCCTGGGAATCCCTGGTGCAGCTGGTGGGCAGCAGGTCAGGGAGCCTCAGTGGGTCCAGCTTTAGCAGGGCAGTGGCAGGACAGGGAGCCCCAGCCTTGGAAGCCCTAGGGAGAGGAACTGTCAGTGGGGCAGCCAGCAGAGGAGCCTTGACCTTCCCTGGTCCAGCAGATACCCTGGTCTGGGAAAGCTCAGGTCCCAAGGGTGCCAGAGCAGGGAGGTCCAACCTGTACTAACTTTTGGTCTTGCAAATTAGAACTTAAGATTAGGCTTTTCCATAAAAAAGTTTTGGAATTAGAAAGCCATGAAGGTATTGTGAGCTAATTCTCATGACAACTTTAATTTTTTAGTTTTAATATTGATGTTTTCATCCCGCCCTGCATCATCAGTTATCTAGGTGGGGGCTTCTTTTCTAAGTCACTTTAAATACAGGCTGGACCTCCCTGCTCTGGCATCCTTGGGACCTGAGTTGTCCCAGACCAAGGAATTCGCCAGACGAGGGGAGGTCAGTGCTTCCCGGCTGGCTGCCCTGTTGCCAGCTCTGCTCTCTGGGACACCCTGGGGCACCCTGCCCTGCGGCTGACCCGCTAAAGCTGGCCCATCTGCCCCCTCACTGTGCCAGGGGTTCCTCAGACAGGGCTGCCCAGCCACTGAGAGCTCCATTGCTCCTGGGGCTTCCTCAGGGTTCCCCAACCCCAAGCCACCCAGCCACTGGCAGCCCTGTGGCGGCGGCTTGGGCCCACTGCCCTGGGGGTTTCTTCAGGGTTTTCTGACTGGGGCTACTAAGCCAGTCCCTGCTGGGGCTGGGAGTCCCTGACTGCCATCTGGCCCCACTGCTGGGGTTCCCCAGTTGGAGCTCTTCAGCTCCACTGCTGCCAGGGGTTCCTGGACAGGACTATCCAGTCATCCCAACCCTGCATCAGGGAGGTCTCTGGGATTCTCCTGCTGCTGCCAGCCCCACTGCTAGGCACCCACATGACCCCACTGACACCAAGGTTCCCCTGCCCAGCTACTGCTGGCCCAGACCCTAAGCTTTCCAGGATGGCTCCTATTCCTGGGGCTCTTTGGTCCAGCAACACCCATGGCCTTGCCAGATCCCGGATGTTGCAGGACCAGAGAGTCAAGGATCTGAGAGGTTCAACCTGTAATTTATTTGTGATTACCTCTTCTTTCGTGACTTGGATTAGAACATGTTTTAGACTATACCGAAGTCTTCCTTTTACCCGAGATGGAATTCATAATCTTACAGAGTAACAATACTAATCCAAAAGGGAAGATGCCCAAACATGTGAAATGTAACTGTTTAGGCTTATGAGTCACAAGGAACGTGAGTCTGAAGTGAGAAATGTGTAATTACTAATTTGACAAATTATTAGGCTCATAACTCCAGTGTGAATCCATGTCTCCAACTAAAGATGCACTGAATTTTAAATGGCCTAGCAGCTATGCTAAAAAAAATTGATTTTTTTTTTTCAGTTTTACAAATGCTTTCTTCTACTTTTCCATTGCCACCCTCCTTCATCTGCTGATGGAGAATCTGTGTGTCAGTCTAAGGTAACCGTATTCCAGCTGAATCAGAAAGCGGACGGAGGAATTGCTTGTAATGATCAAGTACTTCCTGAAACGGATGAAAAAGTGGCCTGTCTTCAGAGCCCCATATCAAGTGTGGAGCCAGCTTCAGAGGACACCCCACAGATGTTAGAGAACTCTCTCTGATGAACTGGAAAAAACCTTAACCAATATATGTGATTTTATTGCCACAGTACCTAACTTACTTGTACATTCCTAAAACATAATTTCTTGCATAAAACATTCCTATTTGTGGAACAGGAAAAATATGACAAGAACCAAAATAGGCTTCTGTTACTATTTCTTAATTCCAACTACGATTGAAAGTCATTGCAGAAATGGTTTGATATGGGAAGGTTTAAAAAAAAAAAAAAAAAAATTCAGGTGATCTTCCAGATATAAATAAATTATTTAATGGAGAACTGAAAAGCAGTGAAGGTTTAAATCTTTATAATCTGATGAACAGTGTTTCCAAGAGTCAACCTCCATTAAGGATGCATGCATGCATCTAGTTTATCCCTTTCCATCGCCGGACTGTTCTTTACTCGTGTTTTGGTCCTTTATACATATAAAAGTGAGTGATGGAGGTTTCCTTCTTTCCCTTCACCTGAAAAACTCCGGATTTTCTTGATATTCACCCTGATTTTCCTTTTTTAATTTCACTCAGCTATTCCCAGTTATACCCCTTTGCCCTACAGCATTCATTTCCTTCCTTAGAACTTATAGCAGTGCCATATTTGCATGTGGTTATTTTTTCGTATTCTGCACCCTGCCTTGCTAATATCAATTTATTTCTAGGTGCAGGTCAATCTCTTTAGGGGATTGATGACCCAGATATCTTTCTTTCCATGTTTGTTGCAACTATTAGTCTGGTATGGCATGTTTGTCTGTGTTCCTGGGGTTGAACTCTCTGGGACAAGCAGCCAGATATATACTGCCGGGCCTAAAGTAGATGTGAAGGGACAGGGCAGAGAAGGGATTTGCTCCCTGCACCACCAGCCAAAGAATAAGGGACACGTGGGAAGTGCTCATTATCCAAGCCATTGAGTGGAGGGGAGGGAAGAGTTTAGCAAAAGACTGAGAGGCACACTTTGTCCTTCTTCTACTTTCCATACTATTTACACTGCTTTTCCCTCATCTACCTGAATTTTGTAAGATTTACGTGAGCACTGATATTGTAATGAATTCACATTTACTATTTTAATTATGCTGTCAATGTATTTATTCATTTTTGTAAACCTATGCTACCTACTGAATACATAATGATTTCCATTATCCTTCATTGGCCAATATGCAAAATGTACTCCTATATATAAACATTATCACTTGTGTAAACAAATAATCAAATTTACACATGCAAACACAATTTCTTGAATAAATCACACATACAATAGAGTCTCAATTCTCCAACCTAAACGGGACTGGAGGATGGTCAGATAGCAGAAATGTTGGATAATACCTATAATTCTTTTAATTTTATACATTTGCCCTTTGTAATACCTTGCGGGATCCAGTTCTAAACCTCCTGAATCTGCCGCTTTGACCAGCCCTTGTATTTCTCCCCAAATGGGAGTAAGATCCGGGGCTCTGCCTTGCAGCGGGAGTGCAGCCCTCGCCCTGCGCCACGCCACGTTCCCCAGCGATGATTTTCCAGAGCTGTGTGTGGATTGCCTGAGCTATGACGCAGGGCAAGGCGCTCGCCACTTTCCCCAGAAACAGAAAAAAGCAACATTGCCAATGGCAAATTCATAAGCCACAAGAGGGCGCTGCAGACCTGCCAACCAAGGCTCCCGCCCAACCCTAGAAAAGGGAAAGGGAAAAGCAGGGCCATTGTGGTGTGAAGCTTTCCTGGAGCCCCTTGCTGTGACGGGCAGCATGTCGGATAAAATGGAATGTTGGATAAACGAAGGTTTGAAAATTGAGACTCTTCTGTATCTCTGTTCTGCACAAATTAGGTATGGCATGAAAAATCTCTCATGTGAACAATTCCTTGAAAAGTAACATGCACTCAAATACAAGCTGGGTTGAGATAGCTTTTGGAAGTGTGAATAGATATTGAAAGCATTTCCTCAATTCTTATTGCACTATTAAGACATTTTAGAAAGAATTCCACGACTTTTCCAGTGTCCTTCTGATTCCAATAGCAGCTGATTAAAAGACTAGAAAAGAACAATACCGTGATTCATTCTCGTGAACATACATGAAAGCAAAGACAAAGCTTTACAGAAGGGACAAGTATTAGCTGTTTTTAAAAATGTAAACAGAGCTAACTGTTAAATTCTATTTTCCAGCCTTTAAAAACCTGTTGTAAAGAACAATAAAAATGACAATAAAATAATTAGTGATGTTTTTTTAATTTATGTAGCGTCTGCAGTTCAGAATACTTTACAGTACAATGCATCTAACCAACCTTATGTAAGGAGAAGATTAAGTCACTGGAGAGTACATACTGGCAAGAGAAATACACTATGACTGAATAGCTGTTTTCCCTCTGTAACTTCTGATCCCATTAACAAAACTGACAGTATAAAACCTGTCAAGAAATCCTCACAATCCAATAAAAAAAATCTTTTAAAACTAGCAACAGAAACTAAAAAGCCAATAAAATTCTAAGTTGGTGATGACACTCCATTCTTTCTTCCCGCAGCTGTGAAAGTGAGAACAAACAGGAAAATTAATCTCTTCACTTGGCATAAGCATGACTACACACCCTAAGCTTATTTAAAAGCTTTAAATCCTTTAATTTTTTAAATTACATTTAAAACAGTTCATTCAAAGAACAAACCCTACTGTCTGATAGATAACCTAGGACTAAATTTAGAAAAGCATTCAATAGAAGAGTTGGAAAATAGCAGGAATCAAAATACTAATAGAAATAATAGAAATGAGAAACAGAAAGAACCAGGACATTTAAGTCCAGCCCCTCACCAATATCAGTAAGTCCCCCCGCCCAGCATTTTCTATTGCTCTGCCCTTTCTGCTCATTAAAAGTCCCAAGCAATAGTGCTACTAAATTTTTCTGGGGAGTGCATTCCACAGCCTAATACATCTCATAGGCAAGCCTCCCTTTCTTAATTTAGTTAAGTTTTCTTATAACCCTTTTCCACCATTCTCCATTATTTCCATTTTCCTTACTGTTTATGACCTTAAAATGGGAAATTTGTGTCATCTGGGTACAGCTACTTAGTTGTTACTAGGCCAAGCTACGTTTAAAAAAAAAAAAAAATCTTTCCTTAATTCAATTTCTTCATCCCCTTGAGCATACTGGGTGGTCTTCTCAAGCCCCCTTGAAATTGCCATAAGTTTGGCATTGAGATGCCCAGAAATGAAACCCCATATTTCAGATGAGCAATATCTTAACTATGAGGCCTACTCCTCTACAGGGAAAGCCTTATTGGTTGATTCCTTTCAAATTTAGGCTGGACAGATTACTCAATAATACACTGTGGGGATCCGTGCAGAATCAAAAAGTGGGCGGAAAAAATTATTAATAGGCCTTTTCCAGCTCTGAAGTGCATAATAAACTATTTTTGAGCTCTCAGAGCTTAAATATCTATTTTTAATGTGGAAAAAGGAGCACATGGTAATTACAAAGAAAAATGTAACCTGACCTTAAACGTGGCAAGAATAACTGGTGAGGTTACAGTATTACCGTGCATGCCAAAAGGGACTGAAAAGAGTTCTCTATAAACCAAACAGTCTATGATAATGCCCTAGCCCCTTTTTATGGTCCAGAAAGTCCTATTTGGATTACAACTGTTGTAAAATTTTAAAAAATCGTTTTGTCCATGTACAGAAAAATCTAGAAAAGCTGCTTTATAGAATACTAAGATGCAGGTCTTATGAGTATTCTGTAGAAAAGTTACTGGGGGGCTGAGGGGGCGGGAAGAGAGATGATTAGCACTAGAAAACATTCATTTGAAAAGAGTTTTTAAAATATGCATTATTCAGATGAAATTATCAGATTATCAAGCTTGCTGACCAGCTGTTTCTTCATTACAACATTACAGTTTTGGACACTAATCAAAATTTAAATATTTTTAAAATGCTCACTAGGCTATACTAGTTTACATTTATTTTATATATAGCTGAAGAATGTTTAAATATGGCTTAAATTGGGTCTAAATGGCATAGCTAAATTCTTGGGATTTTGCAATCTGTGCTGCTGAAAATATTTAAACAAAATTAATGGTAAATTATTTGCATGGCTGGTTTATATAAATTATTCTATCAAAAGGAGAAAATGTGTTAATTTCATTTTGATCATTTTAATGACCCAAAAGGTTTTCAATTTCCAACATGCATCTTTTGCACAGTACAATTGTGCTTTGTGGTTAGCAAATTAATTAAAAAACATTTTTTCTAGTTTGTAAGTACATAGAATATAATTTAATACACCTGAGTATAACAGATGACATATAAAGTCATCTGAAGTAAGGAATCTAATCCAAACATTAATCAGCTCAGCTTTTGATGTAGCAAAACTGTTTAATTATTTACAACGCAGAAGTAGAGCACTTGATTTTTCAGAAGTGCCAGGCATCCACAACTTCTGTTAAGAGTTGCAATGTTCAGTAACTCTGAAAAATGAGGCCTATGTGTGTTTTTTTAAGTAAGCATAAAAGAAAGCTTAAAAAGCTTATAAACCATCTCGTTAGTCTTTAAAGTGCTACATCGTCCTGTTTTTTGTTTCAGCTACACCAGACTAACACGGATACATTTCTATCACTTTCTGCTTATGAGAGAGACTGAACAAAGTCAGTCACATATGTGATCTGATAACCACATACATTTGATCTGATTATTGCACACTCAATACATGCAATATTTTCTCATACATCACAGTAGCATTCACACAACTGTGTTTAACAATGTAACTATTTTAAACTACTTTGTCTAACAACATACATTATTTTAAGGATTTATGAACAAACGGGGCATAAATAAAAGTTTCCTGCACATTACCCTGTATGTGTACACTATGGGTGCGTCTAGACTGGCAAGATTTTGCGCAAAAGCACCTGCTTTTGCACAAAAACTTGCCAGCTGTCTACAATGGCCGCTTGAATTTGCGCAAGAGCACTGACTCTGTAATGTACAAAATCAGTGCTTCTTGCGCAAATACTTTCACACTCCCGCTCGGGAAAAAGCCCTCTTGTGCAAGAATACTTGCTCAAGAGGGCCAGTGTAGACAGGGAAGAATTGTTTTGTGCAAAAAAGCCCCCATGGCTAAAATGGCGATCGGGGCTTTCTTGCACAAAATCGCGTCTAGACTGGCCACAGATGCTTTTGCGCAAAAGCACTTTGGCACAGATGCTTTTGTGAAAAATCTAGATGCACTTTTGCGGAAATACTTTTAAACAGAAAAACTTTTCCGTTAAAAGTATTTCTGCAAAATCATGCCAGTCTAGACGCAGCCTATGTGTTTGTCATTCTTTGAAGAGACATGTCATCATATCGAAAGAACAGTTTCTCAGGTGGGTGCTACTTATTCCATCAAATTTAACAAACTTAAGGCAAGAACAGAATCAGTGCTAAATACTGTAGTTAAGCTATCACTCATGTTATAATACTACAAAACACACGTACACATGAACATTTTTGTTGTTGTTCTGGTAATACTGGATGCCAGTATTACCAGAACATCCATGGATGTTCATGTTTGTAAAAGGGAGCCATATGATGCCACAGATATGCACAGGAATTAAAGGGAGTATGTACCCTCAATTCTGTGGGTTTAATAGATTTTTTTCCCATGAGGAAAAATGCTGTGTTCATTTTCAAGAGAAAGCTATTTCCAGTCTGTATGATCAAACAAAGATGACAAATATTAACCACAAGAAAACACTACTTGAATTTTCAGAAAGTCAACACCAATTAAATGTCACCAAATGGCTTTTGTGCCTGGACATAAAGCAGTAATATATTTGTGTTTGCTGTAGATTTTTGCATCATGCCATTTAATTAGAAATCAATGTATGTTGCTGTAAACAGAAAAGTTGCACCATTTATCAATAACTATAATGTATTCTGTAAATTCACTGATATGAAAATGCTAACCAATATTACTATGTGCTGTTAAGTGTTTCATTCAAAGTCAAGTGACATGTTAGAGTGCTAAAAGAAACCCACCATACACAATGAAAGATGAAAAGTGGCAGATAATGCCTGGAATGCTATTTAAAATGAGTTTACTCTCTTATCTGTGTATACCAGAAAGCTGGAGCTTATTACACATTTGAGTGTTTTTTTTTATTTGCATGATAATATTTAAACAAAACCTATCTGAAAAGAAGAACCACTGCTTGTTTTTTAGCAACTAATTACCAGATTCCTAGCTCAGTCAAGGAAACAGTAACACAGGCAAATAGTTTTAAAGTAACTAATGTGTTTAACATTGTCACCCTCTCTTTTTGAGTTATGTAAACATTCTTCTTAAGCCTAGGCATAGATCAGCAGCTTACTTCTTATCAACATGCCATCTAAAATGGTTTTATGTCCATGTCCCGAATGAAAACCATCTGATAATGTACCAGTGTTATGACTTTCTTGCCTATGTTGTCATCTTGAGTCACGCATGCAAAGGAAGTTGAATATAATGTTATTAAGAATCCTTAATGCCTCACTGTGATTTTGAACTGTAGTGTGAACTGTAAATCCTGAAACAAGCATTTTTGTTCAATAATAAAATATGTACTTAGTTACCGGTTATAATTTTGTTATTACTGAGCTTGGAATTTTGCCCTACCCTGCCTTATTTCTCTTCTTACACCTACTCAGGGTAAGTTCTAACTAGTAGCAGTGATACTGTTTAATAGGTGAATCAGATGTTCTTTAGCACATAGGTTACTATAAGCACTGACTTATTTTACTACTACCACATAGCAAATCAGGTAGATATGCAACTGTGTATGGCTCTGTACTCACAGCCATAAAAACTCATGCTCTGGATTTGGTATAATTTCCATGTACCAGGTAAGTGTGATTATACATGCATACAGAGTCTTCAGAGAGGAATCAAGAGAGGGCTAGTCCCCAGGTAGCCAAAGTGATCCAACACCCATCCAATACACATCTTGCCAAAAATTACCACAAAAGGGAGCATCGGTCTTCATAGTAACAAAATGTAGTATGTGCACAGAAGTTGCGCAACAGCCAACTACTGCATTAAAGGGAAGAGAACATTACAGCCAACGCCAACTAAATGTCAGCTCTGGTGGCCAAGGCAGTTGGTCCCTTAGGCACATGGTGACAGGAGTACACCAGCTGACAAAGAATCCTTTATCCTGAGTAGCTGTGGAAGAGAATGCAATGATACACCCCCTGCTCCTGGCACATCCTTTCCATTTTTAAAACTGAATGGTGTCCCAACAACAATCTTTAGCACATCATGGTGGGACCACAGAAAGGCAACTGACTTAATAGGTACCAGAATGACAATACAATAACAAAAAAATGCAGTTAGACATGAAGGGGGTTGATGTCACAGTAAGCTATGGCTTATGGTTTGTTCCTCCAAGTCTCCAACTCAACATCCCTTTCCACAATAGATAAAATTCCTTCAGCTCAAAGTAGAAAATTAAACCCAACTGAAATGGTTCCATTCATATTCCCTCCTCCTGGGCAGGTAAACTGTGCTGTGTGGGTTATGTGCCATGAAAAACAAGCAGTGGGTCCTACTCCAATTAAAAGCTTCTTGTCTATAACGCTGGCTCAGTTAGATAACTAAGTGGCAGTATGAAGATCGGCTCCCCTTTTCCTCCCCAACACCACAATGAAGTTCCTCATCTGCCCCGTGCCCTGTTTGCTACTGCAGAGGACACAATTGTGTGCTGCAACTGAAACACACCATCATCTTGTGCACAGTTTGTATGCTGGTTTAGAGTTGGCAAGCCCAAAAGGCAGCATAAAATTTCTGCACTAGATGACTAATCTTGGGAGCACTCAGCCCAATAGGGAATTATGTCTACTCTAAAGGCTGCAGGTGAGTGTGGAAGGTGACTCCTGCTGCTGCCCTGCGCCAGGCCCCCTGATAATTCCGTGGCTTGTGTTGCTTGGTGGAGGGAGCTTCAGCAAGGGGGCAGGGAAGGGGTGGAGCGTAGGGTTTTGTTTTTTTTAGTCTGGCTTGATTCCAAACACATTTTGTTTGGGGTTTTTGTTTGTTTGTTCCCCCCCTCTGGCTGTGTCTTAAACAGTCACTGTCATTACACTAGCATAATCAATAATGCATGAAAACAGGCCTGATTATGGTGAATGTAAATATTTAACATCATTTAGATCACACGTGTTTTGGGGCATTGCTAGATACACCTACCAATGAAACCTGATGAAGGTGGGTTGGGCTGTATCTTCTCCTGAGTGTTCTCCTGAATGATGTCCCAGAGTTGCCATATAAACTTGGGATGGAGAATGTAAAATGGCTGGTTTGGATTCCTTCTGCGATGCTGCACGTAAGGCGTGAACAGGTTATAGTCTGGCTTCTTATACCACTGGAGGGGAGGGGGGGAGACAACAAAGTGAGAAACTAGTCAATCTGAGGGTGCTGCTCCACACACACACACACCACACAGTACATAAGATACAACACTAGCAGCTCTGCACTGGCACGGAAGTACAAAAGCACAGACAGCGAGCCAGCCTGAGCTGCTGGACATTTTCTTAACTAGCAGGTCTGAACTTGGGCTGCTCTGCTCCCTCCTCTATGTGTATGCTCCCAATACAGAATTCACTTTGGTACATGGGATGCGTAAAAAGGCCTGCACATCACTCCGACTCTTGTTAAGTAATTAGGGATTAAATAGCCTTAGTGCAGGACATTAGCACGGGGTGAATGTCACTCCAATACATCCTGACAGTACCTTTCTGTCCCCACCAGCTCATTGAGAAGGCAGAAAGCACTGTAGCAGCTGTACTACAGAGAAAACCGGCACACTTCTCTCCAGCTGCGGTGTACTCAGCTCTGTTGTTCCCCTGGGCTCCCATCCCTATCTCCTTTTCTACAGAGCCCTCCAAGTGATGACTGCAAAATGATTTTTTTTGGCAGGGGGAGGCGCAGCGGTGACTGGGAACAATGGTATTTGGGATGGAGGGTACCAGCACACTAATTTGAAAGTCTGGGGACTCATGAGTAAATATAAATGGTGGTCTGCTGGACGATGGATGGATTAGGAAGAGTGTTATGTATTTTTATTTAAGGACTGAATTAGTGTGTCAGGGCTTAAGGGAAGATGGAAAACTGGAATGTGATTTTCTACCTTCTCTCATGCCCCTCCACAAAACTCTAGCTGCACATTCCCTACCTGCCACACTGCAATTTCTCCGATATGTATTATCAGTCTCATTGTTAATACATAAAACAGTAAGACCTCACCCCAAATCCCTACCAATCCATCTGCCTGCCCTCATGGCTGTAGAATCAAACTACTCTTTGCAGGTACCTGCCCACTGTTTTCAGCCAGTTGGGAGGAAATGAGCAAACTGAGGGCTTACCACATTCAGATTTGCAGAGTAAGGAGCAGGATCCCAGGCCACTAAAATCACATCTTTATATAACGAACTGTCAATGAAGTGATGATTTGGATTGGTGAGAATCTGCAAACACACACACATACATACACACTAATGTTTTCAATGAAACCTGAGCAATATGAATCCTCTCTACTAAAGAACATGCATAAGAATAACACAGATAAATGCAAATGTGTGCCAGGAACTCTGTGTGCATCAAGTTGTTTGAAACATGGCACATCAGTGGTAACATATACATATCCTTGCTCTTACTGGATGATAAACAAAGCAAAAATCAGGGGGAAGTCAGTTATCAACTTTTGCTTCAGGAGGGTGATTTCAAGGAGCTTGGGGGTTTTGTAAACAAACAAAAAGGCCTGAGCCCAAAAGAAATACAAAAAAGAGCTGACATCTACAAGAGCTTCTCATTCTCTACAGCTTCAGATGCTCCTAGTTATTTGGTGAGCCTGTGATCACACACAGCAGCTGTACACACACTGTACTATACAGCTGGTGTGTGCCCAGGAAATGGTTACCAGTATTACTCATACCTTCAGCTAACTTTTACATCTTGAGAGTTTTGCTGTAAGTAGCACCCATGTTTTCCTGAAGATACAGATCACTAAATTACTACTGTGTCCACAGCAGATCACCAGTAAGGAACATTACAGGTCCACCCAGAAGCCCCACCAGTTGTGAGTGGACACAGCTATGTTAGTTTTAAATTTCCAAAAAACACAATACTGGCCTAAACGAGGGATGTTAAATTTGGATTAATCGGCTAATCGATTATTTAATTAGTCTATACGGGCACCTCCGTCTTCAAAGGCGAAAGTGCTGCAGAGAGCACAGGGCCAAAGAAAAACTCAAGCAGTCCCCCACTAGTCCCATGCTCCTTGTGGCATTTCAAAGCGTCAGTGCTGCATGGAGCCTGGGGTCAGCTGGAGAGTCTTTCTGATAGAGGCAGCACGGGTGGGAAGTGGGTAGTCGACTTTGTTTATTGAATAGTCGACTAGTTGTTCTCATCTCTCACCCAAACTGCACATTGGAGCCTTCTCTTGGGAAGCCAGCAACTTTCTCAAGGAGGGCGATGACCCTGGGATCCTACTTCCATGTTCTATTTTGTGTAGTTTAAAGAAGACACCCCACAATCAACATAGTTAAAAAAAAAAAAAAAGGCAAGTTCAGCTCTTCAGAGTAAAAATTCATCTGCTTTGATAGGAGACAGATACAGAATAATTCCAGGTTAGCAAAATCAGAATACAACTTGGATCCACTGTTCTCAGTTTCCCCTTGTTTTTTCCCCAGTACATCTTCCCCCTAATTCTTCTAGTCCACTGTGGCTTTACTTTTTATTCTTCCTGGGCCATCCTTTCCCTGAGTTGCTATTCCTTTGGCTCCAAACCAGGTCTTACTGATATATGGGGAGGATGGAAGAATGACTTCAACAGTGTTTGAAGTTGCATTCATTCGGGTCTAGTTGTTTTATTCATCTGCATTCCAGACAAATGACTTCATAATAATTTCCATCCCCTTTAGATTTCAATGAACCGTATTTCCTTAAGAAAGGAATTTGCTACCATATTTAAAAATTTCCTCCACAAATTTTAGCTTAGGTGACAATACCGAAAGAACCAGTCCAAAACACCATAGCATCCCTAACCTCCCGGTTCTATGGGTAGCAGGTTTTTTTTAAAATTATGCAAGCTTTTATCTTTAGAGTAGGGTTGCCAACCCTCCAGACCTAGCCTGGACTCTCAATCAACTAAAGATTAATCTTTAATTGAAACAAAATACAGGACTATGTAGTACTTTAAAGACTAACAAGATGGTTTATTAGATGATGAGCTTTCGTGGGCCAGACCCACTTCCTCAGATCAAATAGTGGAAGAAAATAGTCACAACCATATATACCAAAGGATACAATTAAAAAAAAGGAACACATATGAAAAGGACAAATCAAATTACAGAACAGAAAGGGGATGGGGTGGGGAAGGTAAACGTCTGTGAGCTAATGATATTAGAGGTGATAATTGGGGAAGCTATCCATTACAAAGATAGCTTCCCCAATTATCACCTCTAATAATGTCAAGTGGGCTGAAGAAAGAAGAGCAGACATATTGACTGCCTTGGGGATTCGAAGCAGGCACCTTCTTTGGAAAACACCCTCTCTGCAGCACTGTGACTATTTTCTTCCACTATTTGATCTGAGGAAGTGGGTCTGGCCCACGAAAGCTCATCATCTAATAAACCATCTCGTTAGTCTTTAAAGTGCTACATAGTCCTGTATTTTGTTTCAGCTACACCAGACTAACACGGCTACATTTCTATCACTATTCTTTAATTAAAGATTGTCATATGATTTAATTTCCAGGAATACATCCAACCAAAATTGTCAACCGTACTTCAGAATATAAACTCATTAAGTCAGGGATCATGTCTTCTTTTCAGTTTGCTCAGCAGCTCTCTGACACTGGGAGCGCTATCAAAAACAAAGTTAAAAAGAATAATTTAACAATAATACTACTAAATGGAGTTACACAAGGTCTGCTATGACAATATAGAAAATGCAATAATAATTGCATGTATATAGCATGTTTTATGCGCAAAACAACGAGCAGTGACTAATTAAATCCTCACAATCACCTGATGGAAAAACTGAAAGGAGAAAATGGTTTGTCCAAGGCCGGAGCTCAAGAAATCAGTTCCAGCAGTTTTTGAAAACTGAAAATAAGACCTATTTCAACCACAAGATGTCACTACAACTCAACAAATGTTAATACCTGTCAAAGAAAACATTTCTTGTTGGTCTGAGGAAGTTTGGCTCAGATGTATCATCTGTTTTTTGCTGTGGTTTCTCTATTTTGCATACAGATGTGCAGCGACTTGGCCTAGGTCATGTCGCTCACTCCTAAGAAGAGATGGGGGCAGGGTTTGTAATGGAGACCTTGACAGGATCACAAGGACCCGGGAGCAGTACGGAGACACAGATCCTCTGCAAGGAGACTATGGCCTTAATGATTAAGGCTATGGCCTGACATCTGCAGTTTTCATCTAAAACTTTGCAAACCCAATCTTGATACCATTGTCTCAGGGAAACTCGGATTCCAGACTCAAGTTTCCTGCCTTCATATAAAAATATCTTGTAGGTGAGTACTGACCCCGAATATTTCATCAGTTCTATATCATGGTTACATCATCTGTGTGAATCATTAGTTGCTCACTAGATTATCCAACCAGCTTTGTTCTTAAAATATTTGATTTCTAAGATGTTAATTAGCCAGTGTTACATCGTATAGTCATAGTAAACACATGAATTCACAAAGGACTCTGACCTGGGAGTTGATGATGCGCATAGTTGTTTTATTTCCAACGTCTTTTTCATAGCCACGTGTAGGAGCAGAATTAAATCTCAGAACAGCATCGTGAGAATCTAAGGGTACAAAAGGGCTACATTTATATATTTCTTAACAAAACAATCTCATTTCAAGGAAAATGGGTTTGTACATTTTTCTAATCCTAGTATTTAGAGGATAAATATTCTACTATGAGACAAAGCCCAAATCCTCTTTACCTGCCATATGTTACTACAATTGTTCAAATCCACTGGGAAAATTCAAAACAATCCAATACTAACTCAACTTGCAATGCATATACAGTGTAGCTGTAGCCATATCACACCTCACCCACCTTGTAATTCCTACATATTTACCCTAACTGGATAAAATGGTAAGGTTCTTCTTCTACACAATTTCACATCTTATTTCTACTGCAACATATTAAAATAAATACTTCATGCCAGGATGCATTAAACTAGGGCAATATGCAGGTACACAATGGCCCGCACACACGGCTTAGATACAAAGCTCTTTAACAGGTGTTTCTGTCCCCCAAAGCTGCAAATCCAACCTCGTCCCCAAGGTCAGTGCAGCTCTTGTGGAATTTGTGGGAGGGCAGAGCTATCGACACAAAGGCTTTTTTTCCTCTACAGTAATTTTGGGGCCCTCTCTGGCTTCCTGGCAGAAGGGCACCAACAGAGCTACACTGCTAGCGCTTTCCCACAACCTGGAGTCATGCAATTAGAAAGAGGAGCTTTGCATAAGAGACAACTGACTTGGGCCCCAATTCAGGAAAGTGGTCAACCACATTCTTATCTTTAAGCTCATGCTTAAGTCCTATTGAAGCTGGGTTGAAGTTTCCATCAGCATTGTCCATGTGAGCATTCTCTACCGGATGAGAAATGCTCAAATGCATTCCCTCTGCATAAGCAGATCTCAGAAGAGGTTGAGAGAGGGTGCAGAGTAACTGTGAGAAAGGGTCCAAAGAAGTCAGTGAGAATGACGCCCACACCACAGACAGTATCCTCTTGCTTTCGCACCTAGCCCAGCAATCTCCACAGGTTTTGTCCCTTCTGCCTATGGAGAGAAGGGAACGATGTAGGTCAAAAGCGAGCTACCCACATCATCTCATGTAGAGTTTTAACTAGGGATGTTAAAATGTGCTTATTGAAGTAAATGGGTAACTGCGGGGGAGTGGGGCAGATGGCACGCCAACAAGCATTGGCTCCTGCCTCCCCCGAGTCCCGTGCTGTACCAGAGGCAGCAGTGCACGCTTGGGAGGTAGGGTGGCATGCATGTAACCATGCATGTTAACCAATGAGCCCAGGTTCATCAGCTAACTATGAACGTTACCTCTTTCACACCCCTGGTTTTAATTGAGGAGTTACTATAACAATTACTAATTTATTTTTAAAATGTATATTTAAAAGGTACCCATTGCCCTGGGCATAGCTACATCAAAGTTATTCAAAATGGAGCCCAGTGTTCACTTGCACACTATGCTGGTTCCGCCCAAACGAACTCCCCTATTCAATCAAGGCCTTCTGCCTGGAAAAATAGTGGAGAGCTAAGCAATGCAGTGTGACCCGAGGATTACGACATCCCAACTCTGAGGTTAATGGAACTACTTGTGTGAGATTCAAGCAGGGGTGAAAGGTACTTAAATTTCTTACAGATGCTGTCCTATTACAACCCTGGTCTCTGTCAGCTTTTGTAACAGCTCCCTGCCGGCTTTTGACGCAGCTTAGCCAGCTCTTGTGGGAGCTACGCATCAGGGTGCACCTGCTTACTTTCACGTTTGGATTCAAGCACCTCAGCTCCTTCTGGTACCAAGCAGGGGGCGGAGGCTACTTGTACACTTCTGTACACCATTCAGTGGCCTCACGTAAGCTGGCTCTAAAGTTTTTGGCCCCTTCCACCTACAGTAAGTGCCCAGAAATGCTGCATAGCTTGACATCAATGGGAGCTGCAGGCTCAGCACTTCTGAAAATTAAACACCTTATAGTTAGGTGCCTTAATATGGATTTTAGGTCCCTAACTATAGGTGTCTGATTTTGAAAGTTCTGAACAAATCTAGTGACAATGGGTAGGGTTGCCAGGTGTCCGGTAGTCACCTAGACAGTCCGTTATTCACCCAGATAGTCTGGTATTTTTGCCTCCTGTCCAGTAAAAAGAAATTCAGAAAATACCAGACACCTAAAATGTCTAGTATTTTCTGATTTTTTCCTGGCCAGGAGGCAAAAATTTCAGATGCTTACTGAGTTCCACAGGGGAACTGTCCAACCCGGAGCAGGGAGACAAGATGGCAGATGGCCGCTGGCAGTGTGTTAGGGCCAAAAAGCCTCAAAAGCATTTCTTAAAAGGGCCACGCTTTTTTTTGTTGTTTTTGTTTTTAAATTTCCAACAGAATTTTTTTCCCCCGGTAGGGTTTGGGGGAGGGGGTGTTGGGGAGGGGTGTTTGGTATTTTTGGTGAAACTATCTGGCACCCTAACCAAGTGGAGTCATGCAGTTCACTGTGTACTTAACACCTTTTAGCAAGACATGTTAAAACATCCATTAGTGAAGTACATTGAGGTACCAGGATACAGCTAAAAAGTGACTGGTTACTGTGGAGAAATTAAAACCGCCCCTCGACTTCACAACATAATGTGATGCTTTTGCGTTTGCCATTAAATAACATGATCTACAAAGAAAGCATTCACACTTGAAACACCTATCATCTTTCAAAATGTTATGAGAGTCCAAAAGTGATGATCAAATTGAAGTCTGAGACAGCATTTCTACTAAGAACACAGAAGAGGGAGCTAAAGGGCTACTAATAAAATGTGTCTGCAATCCTCTTTTATCCATTTTTTTTCTTCTGGAAAGAGGTCTAGATATAACCCCCATATGCAACAGTATCATAAACTCTGAGAAGGAACGTGCACGTGGAGCTACACCCTGCATGCTTCAATCAACCCATCTCCCTTTCTAGTTGGCCCCAAATTGGTATTCAAAATCTGTGCTGGTTGGGGGTGGGTGGGAGGGGAGGAGCAGCATGGAGCCAGAAGAGCCAATAAGCAGAGCCAGCATCACAGTTCCAGCACACACACTATGCGCAGCACGCCATATCCCACACCTTGACTCCAGCAGAGCCCATCCAAATAGCTGGAGTGGGCATTAAGGCCAATGCTGCAGAGCAGGGGCCTTGCAGATGTACTGATTCTGCAATCAAGCACTCTCTCTCCTAAGTTCTGGAGGGGGCTCCAAGAGAAACCTTAATTTTCGTTCCCCTGTTCCTTGCCCATGGCTTTTCTGAGGGAAGGGTTTGAAATATTTGATGAAAGCCTTATTAACGGTAGCCATTCAAACCTGTAACTTTTACTAGGACTCTTCCATTAGGAGGCACACATCAGATGAAGATTCCCAATTAAATTGAAGGCTCCACAAGAATACTGAATGAGTGGCATGAGGCTGCCATGACCAGAATAGTTATGGAGGGACCGCTTAGTGCCATGGAGTCAAGTGGGCACTGAAGGCACCTACCCTATCAGAGTGACCATCCAATACCCTACTATAAATACCTGCCCGGGGACTGAGACTGGCACTAAAGGATTTTGCTTCATTTCAGTGAGAGCACACAGTGGGAGGAAGGAATGGTTGAGCTATTTCACCTCAGAGGTTTCTAAATCAGTGGGATTTCACATGAAATTGGGGGTTACTCAGTTTTGATTTCAGGTGAAGGCTGGCAGGTCATTTGTGCTGTGCTGGATGCCCATTAGAGTAGTTTGATAATGACAGCGGTTCTAATAGATCACAGAGATTTAAGAGACACCCGTCTGTGTCAGTACAATGAAGCAGGCATAAGAATGTGAAATGCTGGATGATGGGAACAAGCACACACCCAAAGTTTTCTATGGAAAGTTGGGATGTAGATTATTCTTGGTGTTCCAGAAGCAAGTGGAGGAAATGTGATGCCTACATTTATTCCTTTTTCTTGACCTTTTTAAACATACCATGACTGTCACATCAGGAGAGAAATCCTAAGACAATAAATAAATAAAAACAAAAGCTTTCCCTTACACTACACAAATGTACAGACACAAATACTGCTTTTAAAAATGAAAGCCTGTGAATAAATCTATTCTGTTAAAGGAAATAAACATGCATCACACCAGTATGTAAAACTGTCACTGTTCTATTAAACTCGGTGCATTCTTTGTGCCCCAAGCTACAATAAAATAAATAAAATGTCACCCTCTTAAAATGAATAACTATCATGGGCCTGATTTTTTCTCAGCTATACTAGTGTCACTCCACTGAAATCTATGGAGTTATACAGATATAAAGCTGAGGGGAGAGAGAGAAGGAGGATCATCAGGCCTGTGCCTGAAAAAAGGATGAACCTTTTGACAGAAACACACACAAACTTATGAGTGAGAAGCATTTTCACCCACCTATTTCATCCCCTAGAGAAGAGTTCAGTATTGCACCAGCAGACATAACCACGGCACAGCTCCCGAAGCCATGCGGATACAGTTTGCCCAGTGGAATTTGAGGAACGTGCTTTTCCCATCCAAGCGCAGAAAAGGGAGCCTCCTTGCCATCTATTGTTTTCACATTCACCCTGCCCTTGAGCTCACAGATTAGCTGCTCTCCTGTCAACCTGGAGTTCCGTTTCCCTTTGAACCGCACCCCGTGCTTATTGGTGTTCAGGTAGTCTTTCATGGCTTTCTGCAGGCGAGGATTCAACATCTTGGAAGAGACATCCCCTTTCCAAAGCCTGTACAGGAAGGATTTTGACATTGTGGAATATAACCCGTCCCAGTCATCAGGCTCATCAAACATTGGGCTTCTCCTGTGGGCTGGGTTTCTTTTCCTTGTCCTTTTCTCGTGGGTCCATTTTGCCTGTAAAACGTTTCTCTTTTGATCAGCCTCATTGACAGAGATGAATTTCACTAATTCTTGAAAGTTGCTGTGCTGCTGAGAGGGCCCCCCAGCAAATAAATAGTTGTCATCCCCTTGATAGAAAGCACCTTTTGATTTTGTCCCCATCTGGGAAGGAAAAAACTCTTCTTCGTTTTCAAAGCCATCCTCGAGATCAATCCACTTTTTAACGCTCCCAGTCCCCGATTTAAATGAACCTAAGAGATCTTCATTAAGAAGCGCCTCGTCCCTATCTATGGTTTCAGAGAATGATGGATCATGTATTGCTCCCATAATAACTCTATGCTTTCCCTGGATGGGCAGGAGCCTCTTTGTCTCAATGTAAGAGAAGGAACTCGGAACTGGTTCAGCACTGTTGCTATCTGTAAAATAGATGAAGATCGCCAAGAAAAGGAGACCCCATGCAAACAGCCCAAACAGCATTAGTTGTTTCCATTGCTTCAAGTTAGGTTTCATGGCAATGCCTGTACCAACTCCTCTGTGCTTTGAAGTATTGGTGAAGGGGAATGAAACCTGAAAAGAATATCACATATTAATCAAGAACTGTTCTGAAACCAGAGAACACATAGAGGCATATCAACAAGTTCTGGGACAAGCAGGCTCAATACATACACAACAGCATGGGAATCTCAGGGGAAGAAACAAACATAGGAGCTCAGGAACACCATACAGGTGACACTTGATATAGTGCACTATGGAGGAAGTCCAGCACCCTCCTCTGAGGCTATGGATGGTCCCAGTGCAGTCGAGCCACTGTGGTTCTTCTGTAAAAAAGGTCAAGGAGCCACTTGGAGTGCACACGGCCTCTGCATGGTACAGAACCTTGCTGTGCATATGGGTTAGAGAGAGGAGGCTCGTGGGCAGATTGGGAATAGGGATGTAAAATCCCGTTTAGCTGGCTAACTAGTTAAACAATGAGAATGGAGCAATCTGGGGGACTGATCAAGTCCCCACCTGCCGCTGGGCTGGAGTGCTTCCCCAGCCACAGGTAAGGGTTGCACTGGCTGGGCTAAAGCAGCCTGTTTGTGGTGGACCCCGGGAGGGCTCAAATAGTTCCTTGCCCGCGACAGGTGGGGAGCTGCTCCAGCCCCCACCGGTTAACTTTAACTGGTAAGCCTCATGCATTAAAGGTGAGGCTTACCAGTTAACTGGTTAAACAATGTCATCCCCAACTGTGTCAGGGGCTTAATTAACTTACTTCCCTTTTTATATGATTAACTTATGCCAATGGATGTACAAGTTGTTCTACCAACTATTCAGTTGCATGTTATAGCCTCAGGCTGTGCTGTGGATAACTGTGTAACCTCAGCATTTCAAATACAGAGGAGTCTTAACGCAGACTTTGAGCCCAGTTCTTCTTTCATACTAGTATAAATCAGAAATAACTCATTTGAAGTCAATGGCGTTAGACTGGAGTAAAGCCTGCACAAAAGAGAGGCGAATGAGACCCACTATTCCTATAGAAACAGAAGTATGCTGCATGGAGCACCTCACTCTTCCCTCCTCCCCCCTGCCAAAAAGGACTCCAGGCCACCATTATCCCATTTAAAAAGGTATCCACATGACCCAGGTAATACAGCTACAGAGTGTATCTGCAAGTCCAGTCTGATCTGGCCCTCTCCAAGAAGGATGGAGCTACCTAGTCTAGGAATATAAAGGGTTAACCATTAACCGTCACCCTTACTTTGTGATGCTCATGGGTAACTGGTTAACTAACTACAGCAGTGTCCTACCCGATCTGGGTGAGAAGCTGCTTCAGCCTGAGGGGGGAGGGCTACTCCAACGTTAGCCAGTTAAACTTAGCATTTAACAGGTTAACATTTTAAACGATAATTAACATTCCCACTCTGCACTCCCACCTCACAGATCCAGGTTTTGTGAGGTCTTGGGAAGGTAGGGCAGTAATGCAGGGCCTATTTGTCTAGTACTCCCTCACTGCCCCATGCACACTTTCCACAGGGTGGAACAGCCATGCATGGGGACGCGGGGGGGAGGGAGAGAGAGAGAGAGAGAGAGAGAGAGAGAGAGAGAGCGCGAGAGAGAAGAGTCTCTGTGAGAAGCTCTGAAGTACATAAATGGGCCCCAAGGACATCTTGTTTTATTTTTATTTCTTGAAAATGAATGTGTTAACTGTACAGAAAAAAAGTGCTGCATGGAAAGCAGAACTAAAAATGAACAATATTTTTCTTTCACTACTAAAAAACACAAGCTCATATTACACAAATTAATCTAAGGAACCCCATGGATTTCTAGTATTTCTGTCTGGGCAGTTAGTTCATCATGCAAATCTCAGACTACAAAAGCAAGTCTAGACCAGTCTCCATGTTTTCTCCTTACTCCAATAAGATCTAGTTACGCCATGATAGATTCACTTACCCCTTCGTGCACACACAATAATGAGACTAATGACACCTTGCTAGTTTGGTACTCTCTGGTCCAGCAACATCTGTGGCCCGGCATGATTTTATTTAGGCAGATGTTTGCTTATTATGGGTGTGGCCAAGTTTCCCATGGTCCCATAAAGTTTGTTTACAGCCACCAGACCTGGCTCTCAGTGTTCTATGTTGATGGGTAAGATCCACCTGCCATCTGGAAAGTGTGTGTCTTTAGCCAGTGTGCATGTGTGAGAGTTGAAACTCTCTCAGGTCTGGGGGAATTTACTTAATAAAATACTAACAGTATGTGAACTGCAAAAAGAAAACCAGAATACTTCCAGAAAATAATCCTAATTCTCAATCAAAATAAAATCAGGCACAATTTTTCCAGTGAAAGCACTGATCTATGGGAGGTGTAACTTTGTTCTACAAAGATTCAAATTACTGGTGTGCTGCCTCTGTGCTATAACTGCAATTGTTTCAGCACAAGGGGCACTTTCATTTTTTCTAAACCAGGCCTCCTGACTACTTATTAAGGGAGAAGGGATGGGTGAAGGACATCCCTTTGTAGCATTCCTCCCTTTCAAGGCTGCCTATTGTTAAATTAATTCACGTAGACCCCAGCAGCTAAGAGGTCAGCAAGATTCAAGTTGATGTTCTAAGTTTCTTACTGTTATGTTAAATAGGGTTTTTCTTTACTGCAGTTTTATAAAGAGTAGGTCACTTGGGGGTTATTTGGAATACTGAATGTTAGTTGCAGGCAGACATTCCCATGGTGCTCAAAATCCGACTACAGTTTATTTCATGGAAAGCTTACATGGACTGAGTAGATAGCTGACTACAGAAGCACGTCCTGATTCATTGGCATTAAGAAACCTCTGGCATGAGGCAAGAAAGCTGGAGAGAAACACATATGCATACACACACACACACCCTTTTGTCAGGGAAGTGCCAAATTATTTTTAGCATTAATCATTGTTGCTGCACAGGCTTATACAGTAGACAGCAAAACTGACAGACCCCTTAGGATGGATCTGCCAAATATACATATTGGTTTGTTTATAGCCAATAGATAAGTTCCTATGCTATAATTAGGCCTTCTAATTAATGAATCACACTTGGACAGCTCTCTTGTTAGTATCATTGATCATTATTTGCCAGTGAAGTCAAATGTATTCAGTATTTCTTGTGGCAATGTACAGCAGCTCCTTTTTGTTTTTGGAGGGTCATCTAACTAATGCAGTGCTAACATATCTATAAAATTACTTTGTGCTTTGGACCAGACTAGCACTTCCCAGGGACCACGTAGGGGAGGAAAAGAGATTCAGTATTACCAATCCCAAAATTTCAATAATCATGAATTAGATTGACTTAAAAATAACAAACTTTTAAAAATAAATTTGGGATTCTTATTTGCCTTCTGATGCTGGATCATATACAATGTTTTCAAGCTATTCACGGATTGTGGCAGCTGGGACTGTAAAAACAAAACAACAAAAAAACACCAAATTTCTGTTGAGGACTTTTTCTTAATTTATTCTGCAGGCTTGGGAGGCTTGGGCTGCACAAACTTCAGTGTTTCATTGGAGACCAGAGTCACTCTATGCTTCTGATACTGGCTCACCCTTTAGCACCTTCCCTTCAGTTACTTGGTAGAAATGTTGGTGGCATCTTGGCTCTAGTGCCACCACTGTTCCTGGAGCTTCAGCAAATGGACCCCATAGCTCAGAGAATACCTCAAGCTAATGTTGTCTGGGCCGTCAGGAGGAAATTACGTGTGTTACTCCCCCTCTGCATCCAACCTGTGGATCCCCCCCCGCGATATGAAATGGTCTTCACAAGATCCAGGAAGCGATGGAACAGTGTCTCAGAGAAACCCCATCTGCCGGTTAAAATGTCAAGCAGCCCATCTATCACAACCACCCTCACTCTTAATACTCTCCACAACAGCCACATCTGACTCTCACGAATAGTAAAATATCAAGGAAGCATGATTTCATCTGGTTTCCTTTTGTAACTGTGGACTCAGAGATGGACAATCTCTCCATCTTTTACAAACTATCCACAGCCCTATCCCAGTTTGGGCACTATCCCATATGCCACAGTTCTAGGCTCTCCCAAAGGTAAAACAACAAAGGTGATGGTGTGCAACCTTTACATACACATACATACCACCCCGGCAAAGGCAGCAGAAAGCCGATCATCTCCTGGTGCAATATGGTGGAACAGGGTAGGTTTGACAGTGCTTTAAGTTTCACCAACCAGTAGTGAATCTCTACTACAGGTTGCTCTGAAAGAGGAGGTGGCCATAGCATAAGTAGTTCTGGCCACAGCCCCAATACACCTTCTACACTGGTCAGGCCAGGAACAAATGACACAGAGCCTGCGATGGCAGCTTTATATCACCCATGACAAGAAGAATCCCCAGCTAGCCGTTTAAACCAGCTTTCCATCCCCTTTATGATGCCAAAGCAGTACAAAGAATACAGAGCAAGGCCAGAAATCAGCTGAGCTATTATACAGGTGATCCTCATTTCAAACAAGTTTTCTGGAAAACCTAGTATAGTACATACTAGTATCTACTAATGCTGTTAGATCATAGTATGTTATTTGTCTAAGCAACAGAGGCTATTGGTACCTGTTGACATCAGTATAGAGCTGCTGAAAGTGGCAGGTATCTCTAGAAATCTACAAAATCAACTTCACCATTACCACACTTTTGTGTTACACAGTCCTGAAAGAAACCCATTTCCCAGCTTGTCAGTAGAGTTCCTGTAAGGGCCCAAACCTGCAACTCTCACTCATGTGCATAGCCTTTACACATGAATAACCTACCCCCACTGACCTCAGGTCCTAAAATAGTACCTTTTTTCCTACAATTTCCTCTAGTCCATCATGAATTGAAATAGAAATTTCTATTATTTATATTTTATAGTGTAATAGTGCCCAACAGCTCTGATTAGCATCAGGGTCCCATTAAGCCCGGAGCTGTACATATGAAAAGTACCTACAGCTGCTCACAAAACCCCGTCCCAAAGGTCATACACCTAAAGAACAAACTAAAGCAAGGATGAGGATAAGGGGCAAACATACAAGTAAAGCAATAGTGTTGATGAGCACGTGCTTTGTTAGCTTTTCTTCTATTTATTCCATGATATTATTTTATTGTGGGGGGGGGTCAAGGTAAAGTGAGAGGGAATGGCTGGAAGGAGGAAACACAGATGAAACACAGATGAAAGGTGCTGGAAAAAGGGGAGGAGAGGGGTCCAAGAAAGAGGACAGAAGGAAGGGCGGGTTAGAGAATAGCACAGAGAATGGGGGGAAGAGATGCTGGATACAGAGAGACTGTGACTGTCAGCACAAAGGCAGCCAGTCAGATAGATAGTGTCAACAGCTTCAATTAAGAAAAGAACCAGCCAACAACCTGGAACTGTGCCAACTGGGGATGGGAGAGGGACATGATGGGTCTCTGCTGGGCTTCGTCATGTCCTATTGGTGCTAAGGATATCAACGTGTAAACGTCTACATGATTAACTGATAAGCCTGGGCTTATTGGTTAACCCTGTCGACTACATACATCGCTCCCCCTTGTTATCTCTGTACCAGAGGCAGCAAAGGGGGGGGGAGAGAGCAAATGAGAGACAGTGCTCATGGGAAGTTGACTAACCCCCCAAACCCTCCGCTCCTGCCTCTGATAGAGAGGCAGCAGTGTGGTGGGTGAGGGGACAGTGAGCTGGGCTCAAAAGTTGGTTTCCTCCAACTCCAGCACTGCCGAGCTTGGACCCCCCCCACCAGGATAGGGGCTGCTGCCGCCCAACACTGATGCCTCTGTATCAGAGGCAGCAGTATGGGGCAGCAGGATGGAGCCAGTCTGTGCAGGGAACAGGTTTTTAAACCGTCTCCCCTCTCAGACCAGCTCCACCTGCTACTCTACGCTGCTGCTTCTCCCAGTGAAGCAGCAGAGCAGGCTGGCGGGGGGCTCCCTGGGAGTAGGGCCAGGGACTATCAAATAGCTGTGTAACTGCTAAAATTTGATGCAGTTACACAACTATTCAATTACACGCTAACATGCTGCCACTGGTTGCACTGGGGGAGTAGGGTTGGCTGCACCCCAGAATGCCCAACTCTGCTTCCCTTCAGCTCACATCATTGGAGAAAGGGAAACCACTGATGCCTTAGGCTCTTGGAATTCCGACATTTGTATGAGTAAATTGCAGGACCTCAGCTATGTGTCTCCCTGCCACTCCCAAAGGGTTGGCCAGTCCCAAGAGGTGCTGCTCTGGTCCCCACAGGAAGGGAGAAATAATTGGGCCTCATAGGCAGTGTATGCCCCTTTTATTTCTAATATGAAATCAGCTTTCCTCCTTCCTATGAGCTCTGAGATGGACTTGATGGTCTGTATTTGAAATAGAATGCGCATTTGTATCATTACAAGTGTCCACAAGAGTGTATTAGTCATACGGTAGTAACTGTTGATGAGAGAGGAAATTCTAAAATACAAGCGCATTGGTATGGTGTGACCAATCATCTAGAGCGCAGATAGAACACCATACCCATTTTCAATGCTCTCTGATTATCTGTGGAACCGATTCCCTCTGCCCACTCCTTTCAATTTAGAGAAGTGAATGGATTTCTTTTCTCCTGAAAACCGCAGTTCAGAGCAGCATGCTCCTGTATTCTGACGTCAAGTTTAACCAAGCATGACTGCACGACTTTCCTATAGGACCGCAGCTTGAAATAGAGAGAGAGGGAGATGAATGGCCAATTAAATAGAAGGAAAATACTCAAGCAGCATTTTTTTTAGGGATAACTTTTGGTATGTGTTTCTGCTGAAACACATAATTTAACAAAGGAAAGGAAGTGTTTTGAGTTTGTTTGTTTTAAGCTTGACAGGATGAACAATTTGCTCTCTCACCAAATCGTGCAAGCCAGTGACTACTCACAAGAAAAAAAATGTTTCAAATGTTTCAAAAAAATGTTGTACAGTATGCAACAGCTCATTTTATTTCTGCTTTCAGCGAGGTTAAAATAAAAGGCTTCTTTTCTTTGCTCTACAAAGAATTGTAGTCGCTGAATTACTCGAAGCGGCGATTTAAATAATCGCCGCTTCATTTAAATTTACATGGCTGCCGCTTTGAGCCGACAAACAGCTGATCAGCTGTTTGTCGGCTCAAAGCGGCAGCCATGTAAATTTAAATGAAGCGGCGATTATTTAAATCGCCGCTTCATTTTACTCTGTCAGGTAGCCTAATCTACATGCCTCTGGCGACAGAGGCATGTAGTCTAGACGTACCCTTACTGAACACAGCAGTTATCACAGCACAAAAGAGAACTCCAAATTGCTTCCTGGAAGAGGGAAGTATGTATGTTCATAATCATATGAACACACTAATCATGGTTCCAAAAGTTATTTAAACATTCAAAAACTTAGCCCGAGCTCACATCTGATATCTAACCAGGAACGGTTTGATTTTCCATTGGAGGTCTATAATGCTCTTGACATTTTTCCTTCCTTTACTCTGTCAAAATAGAATGGTAAATTCTACATCTACCGAATAAACCTTTATTATAAACATGTTGGATCTCCCTGGTCCAGCACCACTGGAACCTGACCCGACCCAAAGGAGACAGTTTGCTGAACCAGGGACAGACAATTCTGTCCCTCTGCAGAATCCATCTCCCGGGATCCATCAGCAGACCCAGATAGGCTCCTCTCCCAGCTGCTAAGGTCCCACCACTCTGCTGCCAGTCTGGCTTCATGAGCCCTGGAAGCAGAGACACCTGCCCCTGCCCTGCTGCCTCTGATCAAGGCAGCAGAGCGGGGTGAGGGGCAGAGGGGGGCTGTCGCAGAGCAGCCTCTGTTTGCAGCAGGCCCAGGCTCACAATGGACAGAGAGGCGCTGCTCTGTGGGATGCCAGTGCAGCCTCTGTCTGCTGGGAGCTCATTTTAAAACTGGCTCCCCCTGCGGACTGGCTCCTGCCTATCACCCCATGCTGCTGCCTCTGATACAGAGACAGCAGCACAAGGTGGCAGGGGGCTCCCCAGGAGTGGGATCAAAGCGGACTGGCTGCTGCCCTCGGGGACAGTAGAATAGTCGTGTAACCAATAAGATTTGATGCAGTTACACAATCATTGAATTAATCAATATCTAACATCCCTACCACAGGGCTGAGGGTGGCCTGGAGGATTACTGGGGTCGGGGAGCTGGTGCCAGCAGCAGGGGTAAAGCCTACCCCCACAGTGACCAGCAGTGATGGGAAGAAGAGTGATCTAGCCGCAGCCCACTCTGCTCCCCTGAACAACATGGCTGGGAGCTGGGCTCAGAGAAGTGCAGTGGACTGGGGCCAGGTTGCACTGCTTTCCACCATCGTGGTGAGTGCGGGGCTGGGGGATGAACACTGCTGCTGGTGCTGCATTACTTGGGAGAGAAGGTTTGCAGGCTGGGCTGTGATGGGGGTGGAGTGGGGCAGGGTGTGACTGAGGAGGGGGGAAAGGGCGTTGTTCCAGGCCTTGCATCTGCCCTACATATTCAGTCTTCCTTACCTACAAATGTACGTTGTCTGGGATGAAAGTTGAAATGAAAGATTTCTACCTGGGAGAAAGATTGCCAACCTAAAGAATAAAATCAGCTTGACCCTTTTTTAGATAAGTATAATACAAAACTGCAATTTTCTAGAATGGTACACATGGATTTTTCTTTTGCATATTTAAAATGCAACAATATTTAACATACCAACATTGCTGATGACAAGCCAACCAACATTAGCTAGATGTTTTGTTTGGCAAAATAAAATAAAATAAAATAAAATAAAATAAAAGCAGTATTAATGTTTACACTTTTTCCTTTCTGGCACTTTTGTGTGCGTGGCTCAGTGATTTACTACTTTAGACCAACTTTAAATAAACAGATCTTTTCTACTGTATGTAATCTGATGCTATCCACTGGAACTGGTTGTGATTTTTACCTGTTTGGAAACTTTGCAGCTACGCAGGAGGTCTAAGAAGTGCCATCATTCAATGTGAGGAACCCTGTAAATAAAATTAAGGTTATGAGTGTGGATTCTCCACTGACTTGCACTTCATACAATCATAAAACATTGCCATTCTGAACTTTCAGCAACTTTTTTTCACTTTGCAGTAGGGAGGTAACAGTTTAAGCGGGTAACCAGTTAACCAACAAGCTCATGCTTACTAGGTACCGGCACTGGTTAAATCCTTTATAGGCCTAACAAGGAGCTGTGGCAGCCCCAGGAGGTGTGGTTTACCATGTAACCAATAGGAATTCTATCAGTTACACAGTTAATAATTTTTTAACATCACTACTTTACATACATGTGAATGTGCCATATGCAAGGCAGTAGAGAATGAAGCCCTTTGAGAACAGAGGCATTATATCAGTGGAAAAAGTGGTGTAAGCAAGTCCATCTGGGTGGTAAAATTAGCCCGGCTAGTCATTTTTGCTATGAGATTTAAAAGGAGGGTCCCCTGACTGTTCTCACACTACTTTTGCACACCTGTAATTCTAGAATTTACTCCTAATTTACACCAGCGTAACTGAGATCAGAATCAGTTCCAAGGTGTTTTTTAGACCTATAAGCCACTGCAGCAGAATGGTTAAACAATAAATGTATTTCATTTGAAGCCTTAAATTCCAAACTCTTTCTAGGGGTGCCACGTGTCCAGTTTTCGACCAGAACACCTGGTTGAAAAGGGACCCAGCACTGCTGATTATCATTAATGAGCAGGCCATTAAAAGTCTGGTTGGCAGAGATGGCTGGCTCTCTGCTTGGCTCCAAGCAGCTCTCAGAAGCAGCGACATGTCTCTTGGGCTCCTAAGCGCAGGGACACCGGGGTACTCTATTGCTGCCCTGTCCCGTGCGCCGGCTGTGCAGCTTCTATTAGTTGGGAACCTGCATGTGGAGGCAGGGCGTACTGCACAAAGCCATCTGGCTACACATCCACTTAGGAGCAGAGGGCCATGCCGCCACTTCCAGGGTCCCTCAAGGTGATCGCTGCCCCGATCCTGCTCCCCACACTCCAACCCCCCACTCCTCTCTCATGCCCAGGCTTGGAACCCTCTACCAGCACCCAGAATCCCTCCTGGAGCCACTCCCTCCCACACCTCAACCCACTTCCCTAGCCCAGAACCCCTTCCCACACTCAATCCCTCACGTCTGGCACCTCTCCAGAACCCACATTGCCAACCCAAAGCCCATACCCCTCACGTCTGGCACCTCTCCAGAACCCACATCGCCAACCCAAAGCCCCTGCCTTAGCCCAGAACTCCCTCCCACACTTCCAAACCCTCGGCTCCACTCAGAGCACCCTCCTGTACCCCTAATATTTCATCACTGGTCCCACCCCAGAGTCCGTACTCCTACCTCCTGCCCCAGAGCCCCCTCTCACACCCTGAGCCCCTCATTTCTGGCCTCACCCTAGAGCCAGCACTCCTGACCCAGAGCCCTCACCTTCTTCCGCACCATGAAAATGGATGAGGGGAAGTGGAGAAAAGCAAGCAGCAGGGAGAGGGGGAATGCAGTGAGTGGGGCTGGGAACTCACAAGAGGTCAGCAGAGGGCGGGGCAAGGGTATTCAGTTCTGTGCCATGAGAACGTTTGCAACCCTAAGACAGCGACTGCCTTTTGTTCTTGGGTTGTACAGCACCTAACACAGTGGGGTCAGGTTCTGTGGTTTAGGGCTCTCAGGAACGACACTAATGCAAACAATAGCAACTTTCAATAGGGGCTGTTTGTGTGCCTTTACCACAAAAGGAAATGCTCAGTTTAAATGACAACTTCGAAGCCGGAAGCCATTCAGTTCACTTACAATAAGTTTCCCTTTTCCTATTATCCAAATTGTAAAATTCTCCAGTTTCACAAAACATTTGTTAGTATGTGTTTCAAATGCTGTGTCTTTTTGGTTTTCAGCCAATAAGCAAATCTATGAAATGCCATTCACTTCACTTGAACACTCCTCTCTAATTACCTTGAAGGAGCAAGGATAAGCAAATTCTGCTTAAGACATCGTCCTCATGAGGGGAAGGGTATGTGAAGTAAAGCAACTGGTGGGCATTTTGTCTCAAGCTGAGGGACAATCGCTGCTCCCAGGCCTTGCTTGGGTTTCTGTCCTTGCAATCAGCCAGCAGATGTTAGATATATTTGAAGCACTCTTTTCCTCTCTCCCCACAATCCCTAGACTGCTGTAAACAGACCTCTCAGAGTAGGCTTATTGTGTTGTAATTTGAAATACATCTGGGGATCACCCCATCCCAAAACTACCAACCAAGATTTAGTAATTGTCCATCACAGGCGTGCTATAACAATTACCCAGTAGGAGAGAGTTAGGGTTGGGGTTGTTACACACAGGGATAAAAGATCATTTAATCGTAGCCGAGAGAATAAAACTGGTTGTCAAAAAAAGGTGGGGTGATTATTTAAGTCCAAACAAATGGAACGGGATTCCACTTAAATATATAAATAATAAATAATTAACAGTTCAAATACACATACATACACTGTCACTTAGCAGTAAGTGTAACTAAATATAATCCTTTAAATAAATATTAGGGATGTTAAAATGCATTTATTTAGGTAAATGTGTAACTGCTCAAAATGTCAGTGGTTATACACTTACACATGGGGAGAGGTGGCTCCCGGGGAACCATCTGCCCCCCACCCCGACCTCTGTATCAGAGGCCAAAAGAGGTGGCAGGATCTGGTGCTGATAGAGGCAGCATGGAGAGGGGAAAGGGCTGCATGTAACCATGCACATTAACCAATAAGCCCATTTGCTCGCTTGCTCTTGCTCTCAAAATGTTTATATATATATATAAACATTTTATCTTGCAGGTTATTTTGTTCAAGGTTCCACTTTCCCCAAATTTCTCACTGGGTGCTAACAACCTGCAAGCACCTGATGTGACTTCCTTGGAGTTGAATCTCTCTCTTCAAGATGCCTGCTCGTGGTGGAGTGGAGTGCACATTAGACCAGAATCATGGGATCAGAAAGACCTTTGGGTCTCCTGCTTAGGATGCCTGGGACAACACAACTCAATGATACGAGATGACTGAAACCAATCCTCAGGACCACACCATCAAACATGGACTGATTTGACCAGCCAGCCTTAAAACTAAGGAGACCTCCCCCCACCCCTCATCTGCAGCCTGCCCTGCTCAAAACTCAGTCTCTCTACCATAGGCATGCACATCACATTTCATTAGGGTGTGCACCCAAAGAATTTTTTTTAAATGTACTTTGACCCCAATTAGCCACACCCCGATCCCTGTTAACCACGCCCCTGACCCCCATTGGCCACACCCCCTGACTCCCATTGGCCACACCTCTGGAGGTAACACTCTCGGGGCAAGATGGACACATGATCAGAAGTAAAAGGTGTCATGTGACACCCCCCCCAGGACTTTTCCCACCATCCTCCTACCAATAGAGATTAGTTTGAGACTAAACCCCACCAACCCCCCCTCATGCAACTATCCTGCAATTGCATTAACCCAATGTGTGTGACATTAACTCGGGGGCAGAGAGGCTGCAGAAAGTATTCCCTCCCATGAGCAGAATGAATTTTGTGTTGAGCACCAGTACTGAGTTCATGTGGCTTGTTTGGATGTGCCACTGTGGCACCCAAGTTATTAATAAATATCTCATAAACCTCTACCTTTTCCCTCTGCCGCCATGTCTCCTCCCCTTGCTCCATCCTTTTTTGTTTTATAATGAAATTAGTTTTTCGATCAGTTCCCCTGGTGCCTGCTGCCCCCCAACCCCTCACCCTCCTCTGCTGTCCTGACTCCTGCCCTCCTCACTGCCCTCAGCCTTCCTGAGACCTGCCCCTCTCCACCAGCTCTTCTCTCCTCACTGTGCCCACTCCTCCATTAGCCCCACTCTGATCATGTGAGCTACCCCTCCTCATCCCCTCTTCTAACACCTCCCTCTACACACCTGCCCTGCCTCTCACCTGCAGGGGAGGGACCAGCACCAGAGGAGTCTCTGCCCTTCTGCTTCAACCCTAGAATTCCCTGGCACCTGCACCTTCCCTTATCCCTGCACCCTCCTGGTGTCTCCCCCTTCCCTTACTGCCCCTGCCCCCTTTTTCCCTGATTTCCACCCCCTCACCACTCTCCCCCATTCCCCTCAAGCCCCTCTGTTCTCTCACACATGCCTTGCTCCACCCCCGCCTTCCTCATGCCCACCCCTTCTTTCAAGCCTTCTACCAGCACCACCTCCTCCAACCCCCAATGCCCTTACTCTCCCAGCATCACGCTGTCCCTCCTCCCACTGACACCTCCCCTCCTGCCCTTTTCCTCATTGTCTCCACTTGGCCCCCTGGCATTTGTCTCTCCTCTACCCTGTCCCTTGGTGCCTTCCCCTTTCTTCTCCTGACCTGCCCCCCTCCCCTCAGCACAAGCCCCTTCCTCTCCCACCCCTTCCTCTTATTTTTCCCCACTTTCCCTCCCCTCCCTTACCTTCAGCTTCTGCCTTCCAGCTTGCGGGGCTGGAGTCAGAGTCGGCCCAAGCTACAAGCCAGCCAGGCCCTAGCACGGGGCGCCTCAGGGGCACCGCGCGGTGCTGCCGGGCCAGGTGGGAGCGCCCTCGGGTGCATAAGGGGCGCCACACGGTACTGCTGGGGCAGGTGGGGTGGGGCCCAGGCCGCAAAAATGGCTTGGGCCAGCATCTGTAGTCGGGCCCCAGCTGCTTCTGGAGATGGGCCGTGCGATTTTAAAGTCTCAGGCCGTGACATCATGCCACACCCCGGCTTTTCCCCTCTCACCTGTTGTGCAACATTTGAGGACATCACATGCGCTCTCTCTGCCCCACAGTGCCCTGTAGATGGCTGTGGGGAATTTAAAGTGAGGGGCTGCAGCACCCCCTTATAAATCCCCCTCTTCCTCCAGCAGCCACTAGCCGGCCTGAGACATTAGGGTGTGCCTGGGCACACCCAGCACACCCCGTGTGCACACCTATGCTCTCTACTTACTATTGATTTGTCTCAGTCACACCCAGTTTCTCTCAGTTTGC